GCGATGCACCCAGCCTCACCGGAGTGCTCCCCAAATACATTTGTTATTTACTGGGAACCCGTGGGCTAAAACAAGAGCATGAAGGGATCCCATAGAGAGGAGAAGGATTTTGTATTCGGAGCAGGGTTTGGAGGCTCTGCAGCAAACAGAGCATAGAGTGACTGAAGAGGACAAAAAGAAATACTGAATAACACCACCCCTTCACCAAACAAGGCAGGAGTCCCGTAGTATATGATGATGCAATTAAAGGCTGGATCCTGTGCCCAAGGGGCAGAATTACGATGGCAGAATGGTTTTGGTTTGTGGTTGGCTTGGTTTTTTTCAATGGGAAGGGAAATAAAAAATGGCTGCATTATAACTATCTCATTTCACGAAGACAAAGAAGAGTGCAGGGAAAAGGTGCAGCCTTCAAAAGAAAGGTCGCACTGCAACATGAACAGGCATATATGAAAAATCCTAATCTCCCCACTGCTGATGCAGCTTTCACAGCTAGGAGCTTAGCTCCAGGCACCCCCGCGCAGGTCTCTGCTGACAGCCGCAATATCCCCAGCAGATGCCGAGAGTCCTTTGCTGCATTCACGCCTTGTTCTCTCCTCTCGCATCCCCACTCCCCAGGCTCAGCCATGCTGTTTCGGAGGGGGAAATTCATCAGCCGCCAGTCACACCCTAGCCCACGAGGACAAGGCGGATGCCACTGTTGGCAGCACCTTCTTTGGCCCTCCTGCACTGAGCTGCACCCATACCCAGGGATGGTCCACGAGGGACACTTGGTCAGGGACCACGTGCAAGTGAGCAAGACATTATTAAGGGACTTACAAGATGGGCAGAGGTTCTCAGCCCACTCGTCATGGCTCTGGTCAAGTTCACTCAGAGAGAAAGCAGACATCATTCATGCCACTGAGCAAAACAGTGTTTTCCACTCACTATAATCCTGCATCAGGGGAACTAACTGATGTGACAAACTAGGACAGGAGGTCTGCAAGCTGTGTACCGAACGCAGCATGCTAGGGCACCCTGCAAGTTTCAGCTGCACAGGCAGGGTATAGCCAGCTCCCCCCAAAACACACAAAAAAGCAGGTTTTACACAGTATTTTGTACATTACGGCTTCTGTAAATCAGCACACATAAAGCAGTTGCTTACGGGAAAGCAACAGTCCTCCCCACCAACTGCTGCATTAAACACATCCAAAAAAAATTTAAAAGAAAACAAAACAAAAAAAAAAAATCAGTCAGTGGATGTCCTACTCTAAGAGTTAAAGAAAAGAGTTAAAGCTAGGAGTCAGCTGAAAGGTAAGCCAATGACTGACTACACAAGGACATAACTGGTAGACAGGCAGCACAGAGGTTTTAGTGGTTCTGCTGACACTAAACTCCACTACAGAGCTTTCTCTGGGCTCACAAAAAGGCATTTTCAGGGCCTAGGAGGAGTACCAGGCACCTCCTCTGCCCCAGGCTCCACTTGCAGGGGCGGTCTGACACTCTGCCAGGCAGTGTTCATCCTGGTCTTGAGGTTGCCTTCACAGCTCAGCTTTCACTATTGCCACAGTTCAGCGCAGAAGGACCTGAGACAACACACATGTGCAGTCCATGCTGTGCAAAGGGGAGGTGAAATTGCCAGGTAAGGCTAGCACATCACTTGGCAAACCATGCGGTAAGATGGTGCCTTGCAGACACACACTCACATACATACCCCCCTCACCCACACAGGCTTCCATATTTCAGATTTTTTTTACCCGCTTCTCTGAGGCGGTCAGGAATCCCTCTTCTGCTGCCTCCAGGAACTCTATGATGGGGCTCAGCTGTGTCACGGTCTGGATCAGCTCCTCCCTGCGCCCCAGCAAGCGAGCGGTCAGTGTCTCTCCCTCGTCTGTGCTCTCTGGGGGGAAAAGGATTCAGAAACACAAGAGAAGAAACAAGTCAGTCTGAAGGAACTGACAGGCTCCTGAAGCGAGTGAAACTCTGAAAGATCTAAGTGAATAGCAAAGCTCATCCCAAGCACAAGCAGCAGAGGAAAACCACTTTGCTATTCTCTTTAAACTCTATGAAAGGAAAACGTCTCATTTATCTAACAGAGCACAAAGCCATAAAGCAAGCTGGAGGTTAACACCAGGTTTGCAAGGCCACTGCTTTGTGTCAGACTCAAGTAAGAAAGGAGCTTTCAATCCTGAGGCTCAGCTGTGCTCTGACCCATGCTGGCTGCGCATCCCTCGATCCGGCCCTCCAGGGAGCGATAGGGAGAGCCCTGTGCTGCCTGCACCCTGCTGCTGCGGGACGGAAATGCTCCAGGATCTTGGTCAGCACGTGGTAAAACCTCCTGCATCTGAGTAAGGATACAGGGTTTCTGGAGACCTGCTTTGCCTGTAAGGTTGCCCACTCACTTTGCCAGAGGCTGCACCCACTTCTCTACCTGTTTGCTGCAGGGCTTCTCCGCTTCCCCCTTCCCTCTCCATCAAAGCCACTCTCAGCTTGGGATTCACGTCTTGAAACAGCTTCAGTAAAGACACGAGGGTCTGAGCATCTAGGGTTTGAGCACCCAGGTTCTGAGCATCCTTCACTTTGCTCAGCAGCTTCTTGAACATTGACTGTTCTCCTGCCTCTGCCAGACAGGAAGCCAGAGCCTACAACAGAACAGGCAAACACGGAAGGTTTTAATAAAGCCTAACAACTGCCCTGTACAAACTGACACAAAAAGCAGAAACCTGGAGGTTTTGTTCAGGGGACAAAAAAATTAAACAAAACAAAAAAATAACCACATAGACACACACCATTGAACTCAAGCTCCGGTCTGCGGCCACCAGCCCCGGGAAGGAGGGCAGCAAGCCCTGCCTGACAGCTCTTATCTTTACAGCCAGTCCCACAAACTGGAGCTGGTTCCAGCACCAAACATCTCTTCATTTCTTCCCCTAACAGCCAAATGCCAATAAGTCTAAGAGACCTAATAAAACACAGTTTGAACCCCGTTACTTTGGAAGCCCAAGGCTAGGGCAGGGGATACTAGATTTCACTGCAGAACAAGGAGATATCACTTGCACAGAAAGTAGAGAGCATTTTAAGTGGGACTTTCAAGAATCTCCATCCTCAAGTCACAATGGAGTTGTGTCTCCTAGAGAAAGCTTTGGAGAGGAGGCACGCGAACTCTGAGTGTCGTGGGCTCTCAGCACGCCTGGCAATCATGCCCAGAGCTCCAAAATCCACTCCAGTGACCCGAAACAGCAACCAGAGGCAAACATGCCTGCGCAGTTATGGAAATAAAAGGAAAAGAAATAAGCTATAACTCTTGCTCCCATTTCCCCAGAGCCCTTTAACGCTGTAAATATTGCCCCTAAAGACACATGCTCCCCAGCTCTCCAGGAGAGATGCCAGCCTTTCAGAGCAGGCGTCCTTTATTAGAGACTCCAGGGATGCTATAAAAGTACCTTTGAAGTGAGAGCTTAGCCCAGCTCCAGAGAGAGTGGCCATTTTCTGCTGTCATTGTCATTTTTATTTCTATGATAAAAAGACTGAATGCAACTGCTTGGGGCTGCACCAGGGGGATGGCGGACTTGCTTTTCCTCGCAGGTGTAAATGCTCATATATTAGGGCAGCGTGACAGTGCAATGACCTATTGCAAAGCGTATCCACAGAGGGGAAGCTGCAGGAGTCCCAGCTCTTACCCGCTAACAGCATTTTTCCTGCCGAACAGAGAGGCGTGGACATGAAGGGCTCTGTTATAAAGGAAGAAAGGAGATGCTGCAGACGTGCTGAAGAAGCAGCTTAAAGGTATTTTTTTAATGCAAACATTAATTTGTAATGAGACTTGATAACTAGATCATGTTTGTTCTCAAGGTTTGCAGCCTGGCCCCTTCCAGATCAAAATGATCCTGTAAAACACAAAATGTCTTGACTCTCACCATCCTAAAGGTGCTCAGCACCCTGCCAAATACATGTTTTTACTAATATGGATTAAAAGTAACTTGCATTGTTGCAATTTTTTTTTCTTTTTAATTTTTTTTTTTCAATTAAAATCAGCACAGCATTGCTACCCAGAGCTCCAGATAACATCCCTTCCTCAGTGCACGGTTTTGGTTAATGGAAATGAGTTTTCAGAAACTGAAAGGTTCTGCTATTTATAGTCTCTTTCTGGAAGACCTTTCCTTGGACACATTGCTCAGTGGGAACAACAGGCTTTTAGCATTGTTTTGAAAGAGTACACAGCACATTTTAGACTTACTTCGAAGCACTAACAATTCCCAAAGATCCTGGAAAAAAATAGAGAAATACTGATATTAGCTGGAATCCCAGCTTCCGCTTAGTCATAATGTGCCCACACATTACAGCCTGGTCCATTAGGCTTTCACTGCCTGAGACACTTGCAAAACCCTTCATGGCCAAATTGGCACAAATTAGCATACATCCAGCTTCCAGATTGGAGGAAGAGATGGGCGCTCTGAGCTGGGAATCCTGCTCACCAAGGTCTGGCTTAAGCTTGAGCTGTGCCACCAAATAGGTTCAATGTCCACTGAGAAGTTGGGTCCCAGTTGAGGGTGTCAGTTCTGGTGGCCATAACACTACTAACACAGTAGCTCAGTACCGCTATGGTCAAACACCACAAAACAGCCCTCCCAGTTCATCTCAAACCTCCCCATGTCCACGGCAGCCCCAAGGCAAGCTCTGAACAGGAATCTCTGCAGGTAACGCCACAGGAGGTAGGTCTCCTGTCTCCGTATCATCTCCACATCTTCCACATTTTTCCAGATTTCTTTCCTAACACAATCCATTCCTACACTGCTGTGTCCCTTTGCCCCACTGCAGGACCTCTTGCTCTGCTCCTTATTATCTTCTGCTCCTTCAGATGTCCCCTGCCGCTTTGGCTAGGAAGATGCACGAGGCTGCTCATGCAGAGCCCCAACCTGCTCAGCCAGAGCTGAGTTAGCGCTGTGTCCTCCCAGCCAGGCACTAATCTCCCTCCTCACACCAATCCACAGCACTCCTAGGAAGACAGTGCCGCTGGGACCTCCACCTCCCTCTCCAAAGCGATCACGAGATTAAGTTTTTCTGGGTGGGGACAGGGATGCTCGAAGAGCAGCTGGTGGCTGGCCCTGAGCCTGGCCTGGGTTGAATTCAGTTGGTGTGCCATCCTGAGGGATGTCCTGGGACATGGAAAGGACCTCAACCAGATGGGCAAGTAATGTACATCCCACCCGAGGGTGCAATGGCCCATAACTGAGACTAAAGAGGGATGTGGGGAGAGAGGGAGGGCAGGTCAATATGGTCACTAGCCCAGCTGGCCACTAGCCTCTCCCTGCAGGTGGGCAAGCAGGGTGTTATGGCTTTTCATGCCTTATCCATTCTCCTGCTCCCACCGTGAGAGCATGTCTCAGCAAAAAGCTACTTTAGTGGCTATTACTGAGTGATCTCCCTCAAGCATCAGCTTCAGAGCAAATGCAAGCACCCAAAGCGTGGTGGGGAGGGATCTGCAAGAGACAGGCTAGAAAGCCATGGGGTTTAGGGTGACAGAAGCAGCTAGCTCCCTTCAGACCCCTCCCTCACAAGCCAAGGCACATTCATTTACAAGACTCACCCCTGAACATGGTAAATCCTGTGCCCATACCTCAATGCCACCACCATTCCCTGAGGAGAGCTGCACTGGCCATTCAGCGAGCTGCAACGTCCCTGACCGCAGGAGGCTGGGCACCACAGGGAAGCTTCCAGAGACATAATCATCAGTCCTCTGTGAAAGCAAGCTGCCTTGGGCTTTTTTACTGGTTAATTTTTGATATGCATAAGGTGAAGGAAATATAAAAAAGCCACTGGAAACCTGCACAGACAGAGACGCTGCCCACAGGGTCGGTGGCATGGACAGCACAGGGACTGTCTCTATACATCTGGACCACAGAGAAGCTCATACGCTATGACTGTGTCATGAAGTCTATCAGCTATCACTGTGCATACAATAATCAGAGAAAAACTAGGTTCCCATTTCTGGTTCAGATATCTGAAGTGTTTTTTTTTCAAGCCTGCATTTGTATGTGACTAATGAGGGAGACCCCAGTACCAGGAAGGCTCCGTGGAGAACGCTGACCCCTGCTTGCTCCACACAACAGGAACAAAAGCTCAGCCCAAACTTCCACACAAGTACACCAGAACAGAGGGAAAAAAAGTTCTCCAGCTCTGCCACCACAAAATAAAACCCTCACAACCTATCACTCCTAATCAGGATGCAGAAGATAATGGGAAACTTCTTTCTTCTGCCGCATCCAGAAAACCCTGCAGCTGCAAACGAAGGATGACAATAATTGGACAGGCCCATAGGCAATGGAAATGATCCACAAGCACAGTGACATTTATTCTACACAGGAGAATCAACGTCCCCCCACTTCATCTGAACCCAGTAGTAGAGGGAACAAATGAGCTGTGCAATAATTTGAATTGAGTTTCTCTAGGAGAGCACAGGAAGATAAGACTTGACACCAGCAAAGCTCTTCTACGCTTCCCCAAATTACTGCAATTTCAGTCTTGTTCTCATTTCCAAGCAGGTTTTACCCAGGCCAGAACCAAATTAGATAGGAATAGTTTATGTGAGATACACAGAGAGACTCAAACAAAAACAACCCCAAAAATCACATCTCCCTGTACAGAAAAGCAACACGTCCACATTTTTCAGCTCCGGGAGAACATAACATCAAACTTAGAGAGAAGCAACAATACTCACAAAAGCAAGCCCTGCACCACAAACCTCCTTGGGAAAAAACCCCACGGCCTAACAAATCTCCACTGGAGGTGGCAGGAAATAAGGCAGCAGCACCGGAGGGCAGCAGACAGGAGCACAGCGGGGAACAAGGCACACATGTAGGGATGAGCTCACGAGCAAAGGAATGGAAATACAGAGGCTACATCCAAGGCAAAATGCCACTGAAACCAGAGAAGCCTAAACACCAGGACAGCCTCGGTGTCAACAGGCAGGCTTGCAAAACCCCCACGAACACCCGCAAGCCCCCACACTGCCCAGGCTTTGCTGTCCAAAACACACCGCTGCTTGCCTATAGAGACAAGCCACACAAAAAAGGCTCCTGAGCAGAAGAAGGATGTGCACGAGGGATGGGAGATCCCCCCTGCAGCAGGGCAAGCACGCCCAGCAAGACTGCTTAGTGCAAAGAAACGGCATCTCACCGGCTTCCAGACCAACTTTAACTTGCCCCGAGGCACCTAAGAGACTTCAAGCAAATGACTGGCAAAATAATACAAAAAAGAGGAGGGGAAAAACAACAAGGAGAGAGAGGAAAAAAATCCATTGACATCTACCACTGGCACAATCTCAGCCTTAATTACGCATCCCGAGCTGGGCTCTTCGGAGATGAACTTGCACTTTAAGCATGACTTTAAAAACACACCGCTGTGTTTCCCCCCAAAGAAAACACCGGGCCTTTGTGGGAAAAAGCTACTCCGTCTGCTGGAAACAGAGCCCAGGCTTGATGCTGGTGCCCACAGGTCCTGCTTGTCCCAGGGGGGAGCTCAGAGAGGGAAAGATCTGGCTGAGCCCTTGCTTACAACAGGCTGCAGTCTGTGCCCCCCACTGCCCTGGGGCTGACACTTTTCATGCTTGTCAAAGCTGAGAAGTGATTTTTCGGGAAGGCTTAAAGAAAATCCATTTCTTATTTATTCAGCGTTTATTTATAGCTGCAGAAAAATTGTCCAGCTGCCGTTTTGCCGTCAGATACCCAAACTGCCTCTGAGCTCCGCAACGTCTCGCTTGGCTCCTGCTGCAACAGCTCATTGGGGAGCATAAAGGGCCAGGCACAGGTCTGTGAACCTCACCTGCTGGGTCTTGGAGGTGCTGAAGAAACATGAAACAACAGTTACTGCAAAGCAATAGAAAATGGGGCTGTTATGCAGAGCAGAAGCAAGGCAGCACGCCTGCCTGGGCACTTTGCAGGTGCTGTTCTGCCCTGCGACTGTGGAGGCAGCACAAGCGGGCAAGGGAAGGCATGCCAGCACTGGTGATGCCTGCTGGCACGGGTGCATGGAGCTGCCAAATCCCTTCTGGCAGTGCCCATCCACATCGCACAACACCCTCTCCCCAGCTCTGCTGCAATTGCCAAGGTGCAGAATAGGTAAAACCTTAAACCTTACATATATTTCTGATTGGGGCGACGAACAAATGTACAAAAACCTAATCCTTCTCAGGGCGCGCAGGCATGCTGACAGCAATGCACCCACAGGTGCTTGTCAGCCCAGCCAGGCTTGGGCTTGCTGCTACAAACACAAATTAGGACCCACATCTCCCTCCTAAAGCCCCAGAGATGTTAAGTTCAACACCATCAGCAGGGTCAGCAGCTAAGGGAACACAGCCTTCCCTCCATGAACATTTAAAGGCTCGTCAGAAAAGAAACCTGCGCTCCCCGACTCAAGGGAATTCTTCTCCCTGCTGTCACACAGGTTTTTCCTAATAAACATGTTGCCTTGGGTTTTTAAAAGCAGAATGCCACCACAGCCAAAATGTCCCATGGTCATACTGGTACTGGAGGGACCAAGTGTCTTGAATCCAGACAGCTTCCCAGCCAGCAAGCGCATGGGAACGTAGACAGCATCACAGCCCCCCGACCTAGGGAATAGCATTTCTCAGCTTCAAAAGGTCAGCTAGCCACGGAGCCACTGAAGAGCTAGCAATAAAACACTCACATTCTCATTTTTCCACACACAGAAAAGGTACACAGGGCAGTTCATGCAGCCTGGTATGAAAAATACTCTATCAGAAACAGCCGGGGTGAGGAGAGCAAGTACAGTCCCATCCTCACTCCACAGTGTCCACAGCTTTTTTCGCAGACCCTGCGATCGCGCAGCAGCGTGCAGCCAGCATGAGTGCCCTCCCGGACGCGCCGCAATCATTTCCAGCCTCCGTGTCCTCCTGCACCACTGCTACACCAATACGGATGTAACTTGTTGTTTCTGTAGTGGCTTCGAGCCGGTACGACAGCTGGTATCTGGCTACTGTTCTTCAGAGCCCAGAGTATCCTTCAGCATTAACCAAACACCAGACTCAAATATCCCCTCCAACAGTAACTCGAGCATCATTCATCAGCGACAACTGCTTTTAAAGCGGCACATCGCCAGAAGCGCCATGGGGTGGCACCCTTAACCCCCCCCCTCCCCCTGTAATGCTTCCCACGAGCAGCCTGCCACACGCAGAGCAGAGCAGATGCTCCACGGCAAGCCCTCACCAAGGGCTTGGGAACTCTATTTTGGGATCTCATATGTCAGTCATTTACAAGTCAATACAGTTCCCAAAGCAAATACCATAAACAGGAGGAGAGAAATCAGCGCTGGAGCTCTCCTACAACACAACGAAGATATCTTCAGGGCAGAACATATACTTCTTTACCTACGTGCACGAGCAGTTTGCTCTTACAGATGCTTCTCTCCGGGGTGTTGCTCAGGTGAGCACGTGTTGCCCTTCAAACAACCAGGCACGAGGGCCCCAGTTGCCCATGAAACAATTTCCTAAACAGGGCACAAACTATTCTAGCCCTCAGCAGGGTGAAGAAAAAACCGGTATCATTTACCCAAGTAAACACACCTACCTCCTTTTGAGAGGCATCAATTTCTCTGCAGTCTTCTAGTCTTTTCAGCACAGCTCGGGCATCAGAAAGGGCCTCAGAGAAAAGATTTTCGTATCGAAGAAAGAAATCCAGTTTACAGCTTTTGCTCTCTGCTGCTGTGTGAAAGAAACAAGATGAGTTATTTGCTAATTGAAGGGATTCACAGAAAGCATGATGTGATTGAAAGGCATCAGTTTGTAACCAGCACATTGGCTATAATAGGGAAACTGTGACTCACAAATCCCTTCTAAAGCTATCACACAGCCTGGAGGGAAAACCAACAGTTTATTTAACACCAGTTATAAATGGAACATTTATTTTAAACCCAGTACAGCCTCTGTTTTCCTCCCATGCTGAACGGGAGTTTAAAGGATAAGGTAGCATTAGCAGGCAACTCCGTTCACTTACTGTTACACAGATTGCCTTATCAACCTCATGTCCTGCACTAACGCAGATCCCGCTGTACATCAGATGAAACCACATGCATGGGTAAGAAAAGTTTTGCTCACTACCACTCTGGTAAAGTGGTGAGAGTGAAGCAACTGCAAAGGCCAAAGCAGAGTATTGCACAGTGCCAAAGGAAGAAAAGGGGTACATGTTGGTGCTGCTCCCAACCCAGGGCAAACTAAAAAGAACAAACACAGAGGAAAAGATCCTCCATAAGAGGAAAACGTGAGTCAACGCAGTTGCAAATAAGAGGCAATGCTGTGCCCAGACCTGTAAAGTCTCACCTAAATCCCTTGCTCCTCCTTTCTCCTCTGGAGGCTCAGCAAGCTCCTCTTCTGCACTGCCACCCTGCTCAGCACTGGCAGGCTGATTAGGATGAGAGCCTGAATCCTCCCGGAGGGATCTGGAGTCACTCAGCATCGCATCCTGGTGAACCCAGGTGTGACTCATGGTAAGTTCCTGGCCAAGAGGAGAAACATCTGCTTCCATTTCTGCTTCTACAGGGCCAGGAGAAGGGGAAACTCCATGAGGGAGAAGGATATTTGCTTTTGCTTCAGCAGGTTTTTCAGACTGGGGCAGGTTATTAGCTTCAGCGCAGTTTCCAGATGAGTCTGCCGTCTGGCCGGAGACTTCTCTCACTACCTGGTCCTGAGTCGAACAGCTGATGAGGTCCCTGAGGAGGTTTTTGCAACTAACAGCTACATCAAACATCTGCAGACTATCTGCCACGGAGATTACTTTGGTGAAATTGTGTTTCCCCAGTGGGAGTTTGCCGCTGTACATCATCTCCAGCAAAAGCGCAAACTCCTCAGGGGTCACCACAGAAGCGTCGATGGAGATGGTGTCTGTGCTGTCCAATAAGGATTTAAAAAGCAGGCTGGCAGCAGCCAAAACCACCTTGTGTGCTCTAAAATGAACGTTCCCAATGAAGATGGTGCAATCACAGAACTGCTGCTCTTTGCAGAGAGCATACAGCTGCTGCAGCAGCTGCTTGCTGTAACTGGGAAGCTCCATGGCACCAGTCTACCGGCCTCCTCTCACCGTGGTCTCCACACCGCTTTCACAAAGCCCAGCTAGAGAAAAAAACAAGGGATTCTGTTAGCACTTTGCTCACACAGTAGCAAGACAGAAAGAAAGAGTAAGCAAAAATCACTTTTCAGTTTACACCTCCTAGTAGCTTACTGTGCTGCAGTTCAGTGGTTACAGCAAGAACAGGCCCCTTCCTGAACTCACACTCCCCAAATTTAGCAACTTACCCCACTAGAGCTGAAAAGTCTAGATACCGTTCAAATATAAATACTTCAGAAAGAGCTTGGAAATGAGTACCGAGTCCCAGGAGTTATAAAAAGGGAGAAGAAACTCCCTGATGTGCCCCTGATAGAGCTCAAGGAGGTGTGAATGCTCTTCAGATCAGGCACTGATGCTGAATTCAGTAGCTGGTTTCTGAAAGGGCAGGTGGGGAAGCAGTGCAGGAAGACCTGTTCAGACCATCTACCAAACACAGAGGAGAATCTGAGGTGTTGGTTTTGACCTGCAAAGCACTAAGTGGTTTGGGATGAGTTAATTTTCTCCCCACATCACTGCTAAGATAGAATCATAGAATAGTTTGGGTTGGAAGGGACCTCTAAAGGTCATCTAGTCCAACCCCCCTGCCGTGGGCAGGGACATCTTCAACTAGATCAGGTTGCTCAGAGCCCCGTCCAACCT